CGCCCTGCCCTCCGCTCCCCACCCCTCTACCCCCTCACCAGGTCGACCCGGCTGGTCCTCCACAGCATGCAGATGTCCCCGTACTGCCGGAACATCCCCCTGAGGTTGGCGAACACGATGGCCGACAGCACAGCCTGCGACACAGGATGTAGCATCAGGGAAGGATGTGAGAGATCTGTCTTCCTAACCGTATTCTCCACCTGTCTTCCAAATCTGTACCTACCTGTCCAGTCTCTACCTATCTGGATATCTAATCTACTGCCCTTCTATGCATAAGTACCTATTTATCTAATCTACCTTTTTCCTATTTAATCTACTGTGTCTTTATCTATTATCCGTTATGTCTGTCTAGTTCATCTGTCTGCGCTGTTGCACCTCCTGTCCAGAGGAGCAGTGGGTCACATCACACAGAGCAGGAAAAAGGAAGAGACACAGACGGGAAGAAAGCTGACACGACAGCTCAGGACAGGATCCCTCACATGACCAACTGTTGCACAATGGAGAGGGGGGGGTGGGGGCTCCTGGAGTGTGGGGGATCGGGGGCTTTCGGTGGGAGTCTGAGCCCCAAAGGGGGACCCTACCTTGGGCAGCTCCTGGAACAGTGAGCCCAGTTTCAGCACGGTGATCAGGACGATCCCTGAGGACACCAGCCCCGCTATCTGAAAGGACACACAGACGTGAGGCTCCATCAACTCTGTAGACAATGGATAAACCGGAACACGATAATCTGCCAGAAAACCACAGACAGCTAAAACTAACAGATCACCCCATTCGGGACAATAATAACACAAGAACAGCTCTTGGGGTCTGACACAGTGGAGGGACACTGTGAAGGAAAAACCGGATTGCTGCGGTAAGTGGTGTTGGGGGACCACTAGGAGGACCTCATCCCTCTGGGCCAGAAGTTCTAACCCAATGTAAAGTAACGCTGTGTTATAGGAGGTGCTGGCCTGCGCGTGAGATGTTAAACTGAGGTTCTGTGCACTGGGACTAGATCCCAGGACAATGACTGGAAGAGAAGTGACCCCAGGGGCTACAACTCCTCTCTGGTCTGATCTGTCCTCCCTGCAGTTCCCCCTGAATCCACCTGGTGGAGCAGTTCCTCTCCCCCCCCCCCGACCTGCTGGTGCAGAATGGCTGCTGGGTGTCTCCAAGGCGGGGGGGTTTGAGACTGGCCCCCTCCCATATGCAAAGCACTGTGGTGTCCTGTGGGATGAGAAGGGTGATGTCCCATTCGGTTGGTGCGCTGAACGAGGGCGGGGGCTCACCTGGGTCTTGCCCCCTGTGCTCTCCTGTATCAGGCTGCGGGACATGGAGGAGCAGACGGAGTAGCACTGGAAAAACCCCCCGAACGTGTTACTGAGGCCCAGAGCCACCAGCTCCTGTAGAGAGCAGGGAGAGGCTGTGGTCACCAACGCCAACGAGGATAAAGAGCATGGAGAGAGAGAGAGACCCTGACTACTAACGAGCATTCTCTAATGGGTATAAAGAGCATGGAGAGAGAGACCATGGCCACTAACGAGGATTTGGTAACGAGTATAAGGAGCATAGAGAGAGAGACCATGAGCATTCGCTAATGAGTAGATGAAAGAGAGACCGTGGTGACTAATGAGTATAAATGGAGAGAGAGACCGTGGTCACTTATGAGCATTTGTAACAAGTATCCATAGCAGGGAGAGGAGGATCGTGGTTACTAATGACAGGGGACACAGCAGTGAGGACCTGCAGGAGTGTGTATAAGAAGACACACAGAAACCCCCAACAGTAGGTACAAAACTCAAACTCACAGAAGCCATCAAACACTGGCAGTTTGCAGGAAAGAGACAGCAGACTAATCTCCTTCTTCAGCCCTGCAATGTAAATGTGCACAGACTGGAGCAGCAACACTCACTGACACAATCACTGGCACGTACTCGCACTGAAGCGCACCCGTTCACTCACACTCTCAGACACGGACGCACACCCACGGGCACTGACCTGGTTACTGTCCACCTTGTAGCCGTGCTTGAGCGCGAAGGTTTTGCCCAGAGAGATGGATATGGCGTAGCCCACGATGGCCAAAGCGAATGCGTCTCCAATCACCTCCCTGAACAGGCTGACGTTTGGGGGTCTGGGGGGCTTCAGACTGGGGGAAGGGATGAGAGAGAGCATCACAGGTCTGCAGGGGGCTGTCTCGCTCACCAGCACAGGCTTCACTACCACTTGTGGAATCTCTGGTGTGCAACCGATATGGGCTTTCCTGAAGACCAAGTACAACACACCCACCCTCATCTGTCCGTTCACCCCGGTCTCCCTGCGTGCCTTCACTGCCTCCCCCCTACTCTACTCTCGAACCCCCGGTGAGCCCCGGTCACACACTCACCCGCTAGGAATCACCCCCACCACCTCAACGCCGTACCGGGGGTCCAGCCAGGCCAGGTTGGAGACGAGGGTCCCGACCACGATCTGCGACACAGGCGCACAGAGGCAGGGAAAGGCAAACCAGTGAGATCCCCAACATCGAGTTCCTCGGCAAGCCGACCCACCCCCGATCCGTTTGGAAATGGTGTTTCGCAGCGTTTTAAGCGCAGGTTATCGAACTGTCACTAGCAGGCCCTGAGTCTAGCCACGCGGACTGGTAGGCTGAGAGCTCTGCGTCTCAGTGGGCAGAGCTGCACAGGTGCAATGTGGCGGAGAGGTGGCTTAAGAGCACAGTTTCCAGTTCTCATACTGGATGATGGAATGAAATTAAAAATCTGTGAACCAAACAGCCCATGGACTGTGTCTCCGTATGACAGCTGTCCCCTGCAGCACATACAGTACATTTAAACCACAGGGTCTTCAGTATCACCCCAGGCCGTGGTCGGCTGGGGGCAGGATGTTTCGGAGGCCTAACACAGGTCAGAGCCTGTGTGTCCTGCAGACATGGATCCTCTCCCCACCACTGGAGTCAATTGACTGGAGGAAAGAAGGGAGGGTATCACCTTGTTCCACACTCCCACAACCCTCCTGTTTTCAGTTTTCAATGCT